TTTCATTAAAAAAATAAGAGATTTCTTGTGCCAGAAGGTATTGTGACGAATCGTAAATATCTCGTGACCCTGTGATCGGAATCCATCGATTTTTATTCCTCTCATCGAGAGGAATCGAATGGTATAAAAATTATTGAATTCTGACCACAGGGCTACAAGATATTTACGATTCGTCACAATACCCTATTACTATAGTATTTTATATGTATTCTACATACCTATATGGCTTAAAATGAATATCTCATGGCTCAGTGAACCAAATTGGGCGATTCTTATATCATTCAATTCCTCTCAATGAGAGGAATCAAATGGTATAAAAATCGTTCGATTACGATCACTGCATCACAAATGTGATTAATTGTAATATAATATAAAAAGTACATTAATTTTATTACCTCGTAATTTGGTGGGCATGAACAAATGAAACTTACACCATTCGATTCCTCTCATTAAGACGGGTCGAATGGTGTAAATTTCGTTTGATTCTGATTACGGGATCACAAGATATCGCGATTTGTCACAATACCTACTTCGTCATAATACCCCTATTACTCTTATAGTTTATCAATTTTTATTTTAATAATTTTTATAATTTAGTTGAAAAACATCTATAATTAGTGGGGAAACAGTTTAGCCGGTCAAGTGAGTTCATCATTGCGATGAAAAAAAGTCTCGGTCATCTTTTTTATCATATGGCTGTGTTGATAGAATAAAATTTTGTATCTGCATTTCGAAATATGAATCTTTAGAAAATTGCTTAAGGTTTACTTCATTATAATACTTGTGCTCGAACTCAATCACATTGATTGAGTTGTTTGAGAACGCCTAAATCAAAAATATAAATAGTGTAAACCTATAGCATTGATTGTTTATATTTTGTAAGTTTAGCTATGAGTATTTTTGTATTTTTGTAGTTATTTTATTGTCAATAGTCTTGTCAGATGAATCCTTTTGTTATTACAAGAAAATAATTTTATAAGGCACTATAGTAATACTATTAATATTGCAAAGTAATAGGAACTGTCAAATAAAATGTACTATTTATAAGTAAAAGAAATCTAGATACTGTCTAGGCTGTAAATGAAATTAATATACTGTGGCCGATAGAACATAATGAGCTTGAGGGAAATACTTTCATGCAGAATAGTGTTAGAGGCTCAGCAGTTGAAGCTAAAGGTTAACAATACATTTCCTGTAGGAGTTCGGAATCATAAGTATGAATGAAAGTGTATATATTGACATAGTAAAGTTGTATAAATGATGGTGACAGGGCTATTTCTTTATAAATAGCACTTGAAGATGTTGTTTGATTGATTTTATCAAAATAAATGAGTGAGATGACTGATTGTTTAATAAAATCAAGAAATATCGATACGAATTCGCAATATTACAGATTTTTATTTTAATCTATTTCAGTGATTAACTTTGTACCCTTTTATTTAGATAATTAATATTTATAATACATGTCTAATATACTTATTTCATACAAAATAACTAAAAATTGGTAAAAATTAAATTTTAATGCTTCTTATACAAATTAATACTTAATATAATGCATATATTTGTTGTTAAAAATATATTAATCTATATTTTAATTGAAAATTTTAAAATTTAGCATCAGATTATTAATAATACATTATAGGTGAAACAATTTAAAGTATGGAATAAATTATTAAGCGTTATATATTTAAAAAAAATTTACTAACTTCAATATAAAAGCTCGTAATTATATTTGATCAAAATAGGCGGTCGGCGCAAATTGTCGAATACCAGCGAGCAGGGTGATGGTTTTTTCTGCCTCTTACTCTTTATGCGCCGTAGAGACATTTACTGAAAATAGAATGAGAAATAGGAATTCTACCAATGAATAAATAAAAGAATTTGAGAGAAAATACTACGCCCAAATGAATTTATCAAAGATATTTGCCAACTGAAAATTAATTTTTCATGATATCAAAATAAATGATGCTAGGAATGTTTTATTCTATTAGGTGATCAGTCACCCAATATATTCTTTAAGCTGCATTTTGGAAGAAATGACTAAAATTTTTATATCACAATTTAAAAAAAAGAAATAATATTTATATAAAGATTGGTACAATTTTCTCTTAATGATTTCAATGACATATGAGATTGATTGCTTTCAATATGTTCAAATCTTCATAGCTCATTTTATCATAATTAAGGTACAATGATTCTAAAGTAGTATTTTTACGAATAGCCTCTACTAATGCATATATTCCTTCAGAGCTAATTCGATTATAAGAAAGATCTAAAGAGGTTAGAGTAGTATTTATACAAAGCGCTTCTGCAAATGCTTTTCCTCCCTCAATACCAATATTATTATTACTAAGGTTTAAAGAAGTTAAAGTATTGTTTATATGAAGTGCATTTGCCAAAACTTTTCCTCCTTCAACACCAATATTATTATAGGTAATTAATAAAGAAGTTAAAGCAGTGTTTTTACAAAGTGCTTTTGCTAATGCTTTTCCTCCTTCAACGCCAATATTATTACTGCTAAGAGTTAAAAATGGTAAAGTTGTGTTCTTGCAAAGAACCTTTGCTAGTGTATTAACTCCTTCAATACCAATATTATTATAACTAAGATTTAAAAAAGTTAGAGTAGTGTTTATATAAAGTGCTTCTGCAAGTGCTTTCCCACCTTCAATACCAATATTATTACTACAAAGGGTTAATGAAGTTAGAGCAATGTTCTTACAAAGTGCCTTTGCCAATGTATTTCCTCCCTCAATACCAATATTATCTTCATCAAGTTTTAAAGAAGTTAGAGTTGTGTTTATATGAAGTGCTTTTGTTAATGCTCTCACCCCCTCAGTACTAATATTACAGTATTTAAGACTTAAGGAAGTTAAAGTTGTGTTCTTGCAAAGAAACTCTGCTATTTCTTCTGAATCAACCAAATTTTGATTAAGAGTTAAGGAATTAACAGTACTGTTTCTATAAAAATTTTTCATTAATTCATTGTTAAAAATAAATCTATAAAATTTTCAAACATTCTAACTTCTTATTTGTTCGTAGAAACATTGAAATTAAAGAATGTTTAACTGCACACACAAGATTATCAATACAATTTTTCCATATCCGAGCATTATAATAACCATTATAATTAAGCCAAAAAATGACTCCATTATGTAAATTAAAACTAACCCATGTAGTATAACTTGTATAATCAAATAACGGCTTTTGGTAATACGGAATTGAAATCTTAAAAGGGATTAATAACGCTTGCTCTTCAGTATTTAATGCCAAAAGGCAAGTATTTATAAGTTTCCTATTGCGTAAGTTTCTTCCTATATTACTCCACAATATTGGTACAATAATTCTACACCAGTTACGGTTTACAAGAAGGCATGAATATAAACTTTTATAATCATACTGAAAGTTATTAAATATTTCGAAAAAGCATTCATTCGGTAACTTTATCATTTTTAAAAGATTAATGTTAAAGATTTTTAACGTAATTGTTTATCAGGTACATACATACAGTATATATAATATGTCGATATATATGGCGTGGAATGTTGTGAAACGTTGTAACAATACACCTATTATGTATTTTTTTTTGAATTTACATACTGTACGCTGCACAACGCCCTAGCTGTCCCACTAAAAATTGGTCATCCCCTGTAATGTTGGCCAATCGAATTTCAGGACCAGGTGTAACGTGAAAATCGAAGCGAAGTCGCTTTTTTACAAAAAAAACGAGAATAGCTCTAAATTTTAATTAGGAAATCACCTTCTGCGGCCTAATTAAAAATGCTCCTCGTGAATTTTACCAATAGACCTAATTATAACGCGGTTTAATTTTACACACAACTTTTTACTTAGAAAACAAAACACATTTGTTTTGACTATCACGTTACACCTGATCTTAAAATTTGATTAGTCAAGATTACAGGAAGTGAACAATTTTTTGTGGGAACGCTACTGCACGTGCTGGATTAAGTACGTATGTACGCATGTAATCTGTATCAGGTTTGAAAAATCAGATTTCAAGGTTTGGTAACGTCTATCTTTTCAAAAATCACCTAAATTTCATGAGAAGTCAACTTTAATGTTTTTAATAAAGTTTCTTTGAGCAATTATATATATACTGTGATTTGTTAACGCCTAATTAATATATTCTAACGCTAACCCCAATATCGATGAACTTAATTAACATTATAATTGTAAATCTGTTCCACAAATCTGGTACCGTTTAGACGTGTCATATTGGCAGCCTGCAAGGATTACTTTTTATACTGTGCTTAACGAATTTTTTTTTTAAAAAAAAATTGAAAGCAAAATTCGTTGACAGATGAAGATCAGGAAGAAACAGTCAAATCATTTTTAATAATTGTGGCATTAGAGTCTACTGTAAAACTTTTTTTGAGAACCAGTAATTGCAAATAACGAATTAGTGTTAGAAATACCTTTTATGCAATATTTATAGTATTATGGAAATTATAACGATCTAATTCGTTGATTGAAACAATTTCGAAAGATATTGATGCGAATTTATCAAAGATATTCACAACAGAGATTAATTTTATCTTGATATCAAAAATAATGAGGCTAGACGTATGTTATATTTTATTAGGTAATCAGCCACCCAATATATCCTTTAAACTGTATTCGGAACGAAATAACTACTTAAATTTATATGGCTTAAACTAAAAATTTTATAACATAATTTTTTAAAAAAGGAATGATATTTATATAAAAATTAATACAATTTATCTCTTGATGATTTCAACAACATATGCGATTGATTGTTTTCAATATGTTCTTATCTTTATGACTTATTTTGTCATCATAAAGATGCAAGGATTCTAAAGTAATATTTTTACAAACAGCCTCTACTAATGCAAATATTCCTTCAGTGGCAATTATTTGATTATAAGAAAGATTTAAGAAGGTTAGTGTACTATTTACACAAAGTGCTTCTGCGAATTCTTTTCCTCCTTCAATACCAATATTATTACTATTAAGCTCTAAAGAAGTTAAACCAGTGTTTACATAAAGTGCTTTTGCTAATATTTTTCCTCCCTCAATACCAACATTATTGTAACCAAGATGTAAAATAGTTAGCGTAGTGTTTATATAAAGTGCTTCTGCAAGTGCTTTTCCACCTTCATTACCGATATAATTATTAGAAAGGTTTAACGAAGTTAGAGAGGTGTTTTTACAAAGCGCCTTTGCCAATGCTTTTCCTCCCTCAATACCAACCTTATTGTAACTAAGATCTAAAGAAGTTAGAGTTGTGTTTATATAAAGTGCTTCTGCAAGCGCTTTTCCACCTTCATTACCGATATTATTATTAGAAAGGTTTAACGAAGTTAGAGTGGTGTTTTTACAAAGTGCCTTTGCCAATGCTTTTCCTCCTTCAATACCAACATTATTACTGTAAAGCATTTCCCAAAGAACCTCTGTTATTGCGGTAACTCCTATAATGCCAATATTAATATGACCAAGACTTAATGAAGTTAGTGTAGTGTTTATATAAAGTGCTTCTGCAAGTGCTTTCCCACCTTCACTACCAATACTATTATTATAAAGGTCTAATGAAGTTAGAGTAGTGTTCTTACAAAGTGCCTTTGCCAATGCTTTTCCTCCCTCAACACCAATATTATCATTAACAAGATTTAAAGCAGCTAGTGTTGTGTTTATATGAAGTGCTTTTGCTAACGATTTCGCTCCTTCAGTGCCAATATTACAGTTTCTAAGAAGTAAGAAAGCTAAAGTTGTGTTCGTACAAAGAATCTCTGCAATTTCTGCTGAATTAACCAAATTGTTATAAAGAGTTAAGGAATAAATGGTACTCTTTCTACATAAAATTTTCATTAATTCATAATTAAAAATAAAATTAAGAAATTCCAAACATTCTAGTTTCTTATTTGTTCGTAGAAACATTGCAATTAAAGAATATTTAACAGCATTCAAAATATCATCACTGCTATATGTCCATATCTGAGCTTTATCATAATTAAGCCAATTAATAACTCCATAATGTAAATTAAAATTAATATGTTTGGTATAACTTGTATAATCAAATAATGGCTTTGGGTAATATGGAAGGGGAATTTTAAAGGGGATTAGCAACGCTTGCTCTTCAGCATTTAATGCCAAAAGGCATGTATTTATAAGATTTTTATCATTTAATTTTCTTGCTATTTTACTCCATAATATTGGTACAATAATAATACACCAGTTACGGTTAACAAGAAGGCATGAATATAAACTTTTATAATCATCCTGAAAATTATTAAATATTATGGAAAGACATTCGTTCGGTAATTTTATCATTTTAAAGGATTAAGAGTTTTTGTTATGTATAAAATCATAGTTGTGTATCGTCTGATCTATATACGCATACTATATAAAATGTTATGAAACGTTGTACAGTATGGTAACGAATCTAGTGTTACTATTGTTTGGGAGAGCGAATATAATATAAGGTCCAATAATAAACTCGGGATGCTATAAATATTTAAGACTTGAACACGTGGGATGTAGTTACGAATCTCTTAGATCTGAGTCGAAATTATCACCTAATTAAATCAAATCGGACGTTATACAATCAATTTAAGAGTCAGTTTAAGGGACAACTTAAATATGCGTTAACAATGGAATTAATTTAAGGGGATGTAAATGCGGGTAATTGTAATATAATTTAGGTTGACAATAACGATATGATGATAATTAGTGATGGCACTTTAAAAATTAAAATTCAAATGTCATACCCGTGATCCTTTGAAAAACTTCTATCCTTAATAAATTATAAATGCAACAATTAAGAATCACCTATTTTTCGTATTGTTAGTCCCATCACTAATGATAACGTATAGTTTAATAAGAATATTTAAGTTTA